CTGAGAATTCTCATTTTCCTCTCCGTTCCTCAACTACTACCCTCATAACTTTGTTCTTTTTAACTCTTTGCACTCGAGAGGTGACTCTAAGTCACCATTAGGTTTCACGCAGCAAGTCTACAATACCTAATGTTTCCTTAGGTTTAATTTCTTTGGAGCTCGAAGTGTCGATAAAATGATTGTCGGCGAGGTAAGGGTGACCTAATTCTCAAATCTAGATGGCTTAGAATTCATGGCAAAAGAATGCTAACAACTCGAGTTGCTGGCAGATACCAGAAAAAAGGCCTCGAGTGCAAAGGGTTAATCTATCATCCCCTTTTCAAGCTTTACCGCGGATTCCGAACGTAGTTTTCGATTCTAACTATCCACGATTGACCAACTTTGAGTCGCAGCACAGCTCTCATCTCCTACCTACAACTCCCACCATTTTCTTCCTCTCCATTTGTCATCCATTTTTCAACGCCTATTGCGCTCGAATCGCGGACTCGATACCGCTCACGAGCGGATAAAGCGACCCCAGGTTAGCACCGTATAAAAAATTAACCCCTAGGCGTCCCCGGTCGCGAGGAAGCTACCCACGCGAACGGGAAAAACAATGGAATATCGTCAAAGTACAATTATGGTAGTAGCCAAATACGATTCGCCCACCCAACCGCATTCCGCGCGTCTCGCTCACTTTTCGCTTGTTTGTCGCTTTCGTTGGACGTTTATCGGTAGCGATAGGTCAGCCATTAGTACACGGATCTCTGACATTATCAATGGCGAAGTGTTTCTCAAGCGAAATCCCCGACGCGATCTATAAATAAGGGGCTCGAAGAACTATCTTTGGACACCGTAACGCGCTACATTGTCGATGCAGCGCAGCCGACATCTTTCCGTCAACTCGCCCCGATCCGATTTCGGACGAAGAAAGTCAAACGGCGAACTTTAAATAATAAATACGGCTAACGACTTGCGACCGATTTGTATTTTTACCGGGTCACCGCGAAATATTTTATTCTATCATTCAAAATCAGATTCGAATCCCACGACAGAGTTCAAAGTTATACAGTCAGTCCCATGAGTATTCGTACCCTCTATATTTGTCAAATTCTAAGCGAATGCTTCGTGTTTCCAAATCAATTTATAATTGTAAATATATGCATGTGCGAAGTTATTTCATATACATACTTATAATGGAAATAAATATATTGATTCGGAAATATGAAGCCTATCATTTAAATTAGACAAGTTTCTTTAATACATATAGAGGGTACGAAGTTTTATGGGACTCGGTGTATAATATAACTTAACCAATTGAGTCTCGCGATCGCGCTGTTGAGATTTTATGTCGAGAAAACCCAGTACTCGTTCAGAGAAAACGCGGTTGCGCTGTTTGGGATTCTTCGACAGTGTTCTTTCGATACCCTCTGTGACTCAAACGGTTAAACATAATATTCTTAATGATTTCAAAGTTTTAGCATGTTCAAGAAAATGCGAGTAAGAGCAATTTTCTAATCTGTAATTAATAATGAGCTTCAAGGGAGTAATGTCGTGCAACGAGTCGGAAAATGGACTACCTTCGAAATTTTCCTTAACGAGAGCATACGATGGTTTAAAATGAAACTTGTGCCTATCAACGTGCCTAAGAAAACGCTGCGTGAATTTTTGTACATAATTCGTACGAATATTATACGAGTAATTAACGATACTACCACGATGTGTCAAAAGTTATCTCGTAAGCGATGGATAAGCTTCGGCAACTTCGGGATAAACGCAACAACAAAAATCAACTTCTCTTCATCTGCGAAACGAGGTAACCCCGTCAAAGCTGCCGGCATTTTTCTCTTCCTGTATCGCGCGAAGTGACCCGATTATTTCAATCCGCGATTCGAAACGCGTCATCGACGCCGTGGCTGGAATTGTATCGCGCAAAACCCGCTCGATATCGAGTAACCAGAATTAGATATCGACGAATCAGAACGCGGACGAGGAGGAGGATGACGATGATAACTATTCCATCACCGATTTCAATATTTTAAGCTCGATCTATCCGCGTGCTAATTTACTTTCCCAGCATCGACTTTTCCCGCGCGTTGGCCAGCCATCAATCTCCATTACAGCTTCCGACAGCCATCGCTCTCGGACACACCCCTTCTGCATTCGCCCTTAAGCACGTAATATCGTTACCAATTTTTTTTCATCGGCTGTCGACGGTTCCCCGAACGTCGTATCTCCGCCGCGTTTCGTGGAAACCGTTCAACCCCCATAAGAGAAACACACCCCTCCTCGCCGTCACGTTGAGAAGTTCTCAGACAAGTTTGGAGCGCGATCGGCGGCACGTGTCTTTGACTCTTTGTCAGCGAGCTACTCGACGCCCAGCGACCTAAGAAAACAGTCCTCGACGCATTCAAATGAAAATCAGCGAGAACGGTTGCGCCAACCTTCTCCGAGGAGGCTGAGAAGAATGACTCTGGAGGGTATACTCTGTTCGAATGATTCTCTACATGCTAGTAGGGGTTGCAAAGGCAGATCATAGTCAACGATATGTTTTTTTCTTCTTTTTATTCGAAGCATCGAGTATTTTACGTGTCTACGACTAGGAAGAGTATCGTAAATTCGGATGAGAATACTAAATTAAAACAGATCGATACCTTTGAGATGCCGAAGTATAAAGTTTGACTCGAATACGCTCGACGCTTGGAGTAATAATAAAATCACGATGCTAACTCCTTGGATACCGTCTAATGCATCGGAATTTTTCCATTCCAGAGGTACCTACTGAATTTTTCAACGCGACTATGAATCGCAGCTGTATCGACGTCGAACGTATCGCTCGGCTGTCGATATGAAATTCTTTTCGATAAAAGCGAGAACTTCAAGAATCTTAGCGCCGGGAGTTCCTTTATTTCCTGTCCTACTTCGAGGCGCGATTTATAATAACGTGAAATCCAAGAATATCGGTACGAGTAGGTGCTTCGAAATAGATTCAAGTTCTCAAAGGCGCAACTGCTGAAGCGTTCAAAGGTACGACGGTAACTTGTTAAAAATAATGACCGTTTAGACGGGTTAAATTAGTAGGAGAAACGGAGGCGAGTGGATGTACGGATTCGATGTACTTTATAAATTGAAATAAAAATTACAAAGTCTACGGTGGCTTTCGCGCATCTGGGGTGGCATGGACGGAACCATTTGGACGGAGTTTACCCCTGAGAGACATTCTTCTCAGCTGCCGATGATACCAGTTGCCTCTGAATCCCAGACTGGTCGCGACAGGTCGAAACGTGAATGCGAGTTGCCCCGTGCAACAGGGGTCACAGACATAACGATTTTTCGGTCAATAATTTCTTCAAGTATCGTCGATACGACTCTGTGAACGATTACTGTGGAGCTGCCGTGTAAAACGCCATGTGACTGTCGACGTACAGATATTATAGAACAAATGTCCCCTATGTGGAATTTGAACTCGTTCATATAGAATTGAAGAGACTAGCGAGATACTCCCTTCCTATTTTTAAAAGTTGTTCTAATAGAACACTACCTGAGACATTCGAGGAATAATTGGAACGATAGACATTTCGTAGAAAACTCTGAAGTATTTCTAGTTTTAGAAGTTTCGAAAATTGAGGAAAACTGACGGAAACGAGGGCGCGTTACGAATGCGAATCGTTTCTTTTTCGCGAGGGAAACTTGGGTCGCACAGGACGTGTTCTTCCGGGAGGCTCTTCTAGTCCACGCTGCCAGGGATTAGAGGGTTCTAATTACAGGAAAATGCAAATAGTTCGAACGGAACCGCGAAGTAGTAAACCAGTAATTACTAGTGCTAGCGGCAGTTGCTTGCCCGCTGCATATGAAACTTGGCATAACGTTATTGCTTCGCTAACCAACATTGCACTCTTTTCTTCCTTCCATCGTCAACGATTCGTCGGAACTCTCCTAGCATAACTAAATACTTTCTCGTTTCTTCGCCGTTAAAACCCGGGGTTTCCTCGACTACTTCCTCAGTTTTCGTAGACTCTATCTTTTCTCGTCGAATGTAAAACATTATTTCGAGAGACCTAAACTAAACGTGTGCGCTGGTCGAAGCGATTCTTTGATACGCGTTATTTTCCTGCCATCTGCTCGAAAACCGACCAGTCCTGTTTAATATTCGCGCTCCAAAATGTCCATCCACAAAGGGTTAATGCACCTTTCTTCCAACCAGTTATATTTACTCGAAGTTGAAATGCAAAATCAGAAAGAGCTTGTTCGAGAACTTGGCTCGCACAATGGGACCGCGATTAAATTACGCTTTTCGTTTTTATCCGAGCCCTATGTTAATCGTTTCTCTTATGACGCTCCTCTGTTTACAAATAGAGGATACGTTATCCTTGGGAGCTGTTCTTCCTCGTTTCAATAAAGTTGAAAGCTTCCGAGAGAATACACGAAGCGATAAAGATGGCCACGATGACTTATTAAATCGATCGTACATTATTCTAGTTTAGACTAGACGAGTACAGACTATTTCCTTTTCTCAATTTTTTCATCGCAAGTTCGGCTCTTTTTTTACTGGTTAATCGCAATGTTTAGTGTAAAAAAACGGACAAGACTTTTGATATATCTAGCAGCTAACGTGTAGAAATAAATAAATAAATTTGTCAGCAGTTGAATGTCACTTTCACGATAGTGGCACAAGTAGTAGCAGTGTGAAACAGCAATTTTTAAATTTGAACCGCTTGCGCTGGAAATTATTCGCGATGGCTAAACATATAAAAGAAAGTTATTCGTGAAAAAAATACTCGACGATATATTACGATAATGTGTAGAATAACCAGAGCATTAAATTGAAGTTTTAATAAGAGCACCAATATAAAACAACGTCGTTTGTTTGGTTAGTTTTGGTGCGTTTCGATATACATATACGACAAATGTCCACCATTTGTCACAGACAAAGTAAAAATTGTAAAACGTCCAAATATCGAAGTTACACGCCGCGATTTCCCAGTGCATGCGATTAACGATCAAATCTCCATCTTTCTTACCTTCCAGGTTGCTGGTTCTATGTAGTTACTCGGCAGATTGGGTCGAATCGTCGAACGACGCACGTCAGACACATCATGGGTGTTGCCATTCGAACGGACGAAAAGAAACGGTGGACGACTGGTGCGTCTCTCGGTAAAGGCGGCTCGTGGCCGACGAAAAACGAGACGTCGCGACGAGAGGTCGAGTCGAAATGAAAATTGCGCGTCGATACACGTGCCACCGCGGACATTATTCAGGGTCGCGATGCTCCAACACAATTCTCACGTGTCTTTAACCCGGGCCGCCATCTTGCTCCGTCCACCATGCGAGAGGCGCGATGCCCCACCATTTGACTGGTGCTCCCCTCTACCGATCTTTCCAAAGCGAACTTTTTGATACGCCAATTGCCTGGCTGGTGTCACCGCCGAAAAGAATTTTTTACGGGACGGTTCCACACGGGGCCGCGTGGACCACACACGCCGGACCAATCCTTTGACGCGACATCTCCAATTCAGATAGAAAACGATAGCAGGACTCTCGAGATGCGATGGATCTAGCACCGGAGCCGAGCCACGAGGCGGTGAAACGCGTCTCCTGTCGCCGGGGCACCCGTGTGAATTGCAAAACGTTGCACGATTTTAATATCGTGCAGCCTGATTCGGTTTCGCATACGCGGCCAATGAGTCACGCCGTTGGTTCTCTAAAGCGTTATCACCGCCGTACGTGGCTCGAGATTTCGGACGTCAACCACCACGTGGCCAACCATAGGTCCCTTCATTCCTCCATTTAATTCACCGATTTCCTTCGGTTCCTCTATGGTCTTTATCGTGTGTAGTCCAGGACGATCTTCTTCTCACGTGTGTTGTATCGATGGTTCTCTCTGATTCAATAATAAACCATTCGGTATCTTCTCTGGGTCTCGAAAAGAATCCTTTGTTTTCTCTATTGCATCGTTTAGTCCCTCCATAATCGTTTCTTTATTTAGTAAGAGTCTAGTGTTATCTTCCAGGGTGCTCCCAAGATGGTTAGCGTAATCATCGGAGATGTTTGCATTAAGGATGGTAGAAACAGAGGAAACATCTGCTGTGACTTTAGGATTGGTTGCAAATTTATCTTCGTTTATCTCGTGAATTCGTGCTGGATGTTTGGTTAAGGCTCGAATATTTCCCATTCCATGCTCGTGTTCTTCATTCCTGATGTATTCGAGGATCGATACATTTTGCGTCTCGTCTATCGAGGAAAACTCCATTCCATTGGCCGACCTTGCCATCCTGGAATGCCGCGTCCTTGACTGGCCAGAGGTCAACAACTGGAAAAGGAACGCTCTAGTTGCTCGCCGCTCGGATCACCTTGACGTACGCGTCGACGATCGAATCCGTATCGATTTTCCCAAAACTATATTCCTCCACCGAGTCGACACGATATTTTCGTAACTTCTAATCCCCATCGTACCCCCTCGATTCCCGTCTAAATATGCCCCAGAAATTCTCTATGTTCGCGTAATGCAATTTCGTTTAAAAAACAAAATTCCGGAAAATTTCGTCATTTTCAGGGTTTCGAATCCCTCCCTCCTTAAGCGGCAACGTGTGACTCGCACATTCGAAAATAGAGGCGCCGCTTCGGTGGCCCGTTCGAAACCGCGACGCCGTTATCCGCCTTATCGCTGGGACATTACGTAAGCCACCGCGTCGCTCACGTCTTTCGCAGAAGGGGATACGTTGCACGACCGACGAACGATGCCCGAAAGGCGAACAGAACCAGAAGAGCAGACGCGAAAGACGATGCTTAACAGGCGAAAGCACGAGCAGAGATGGGCAAAACGCTTAGACAAGGGAAAAGCAAACTTTGATGTCTAATTCTGACACGAAATACAATTGTTTCTGATTTGGTTATCCATGACTTTAGTATCTTAATGACTGAGTGTCGAAGAAAAATCGTAGAAAGTTAGAACGATTTATTTTAATTTTAATGTTCCATAGTTTTGGAACCTTGAACGTTGGAATGCCAACGAATATTGTAAAAACAAATAATCGAGGCTTATATCGTGTTTTTGTTCTATCAAAGCAAAGCAATTCGTCCCCATGGAGGTTATGTTTGCGAGAAACGTTGTAGAAGAAAATGAGATAGTCGATATAGAAGATATTACAAAAATGGAGAGTAAACGAGCTTAAAAACATTTCCGTCTTACTACAATCCAGGCACTGCTAGTGGAACCAAAATATGTTCCACGACGAAGACTAGCTTATGGAATTGTTCGATCGGCTAACGCGAGAAAGTCGTCACGGCGAGTTTCCGTTCGTTATCAATTATTCGAATAAAGTTCTGGCCATCTCTACGAGGCGTACATACTCGTGACGCGGTCGAGTTTCAAAGCTTTCCTCGTGACGATCGCCCGTACTCGGCGCCGCGTTCACGTGAACGCGATTTACTGCGCAGATTCAGAGTCACGCGGCGGTTCTTCATTCGTACCTACGTCGCGCGCACGATAAGTCGTTCCTCTGTCCCGCCGTTGCCCCACGGACGTCGAACTTTCCTTATTCCCACTTCGCGGCGTCTCTCTAACCTCTTTCCGATACGTATGACTTACGTTTTCGATCCTTTTCCTCGTTCCCGTGGCTGTGTCTAGCTCGTGGTTCTCTATTTCGCGTGTCTCGCACATTTCTTGCTCGTCACTCGATCCGTTTCCGATAATTCCCCAGTTTCGGCGGGTATGCGTACGTGTATCTCTGCGTGTGTATTTCTTTTGCTTTCGCGCACTTCCAATTTCATCCATAGCGTTCCGTTCCTACCGTACGGGTTATCGTAGGGTAACCCCTGTCGCTGTCAAGTCCGTTGTTACCGGCTGAACAAATTCTCGATACGCCAGGACTGACCTGTTTCTTTGTTGTGGTTCCCATGATTGCTTTCGCAAGGGATTCCGCGGTGTAGTGTTTCCCTCGCGGGTTTCCACGATTCTCACGGATCCCGACCCGATCGCCGCGCTTCCCGTCGTGAAAACAAGCAAACATATCGGTCGAGCGGGATACGTTCCGCGTTCGGCCGTTTCGTTTCGCGTGCCTTCTTCCCCGTGTCACATCGTCGACGATCCATTCCGTTCGTGCTGTCAATTCTGTCTGGGTCTACGATCGAGCGTAACGAAAGACGGCACCACACCGCACGCACGCCACGCTACGTGGGAAACCGTGAAAGTATGCGCAGTAATACACGCGACGAACCCGCTTGCTCACGCACGCACGAACACGCACGTTTGCGAGAAAACATGTACGAAGAGTCGCGTGCGCAGAAGCAAAGCGCGCACACGCGAGAGACGCAGTTTAAGCCTCGAGGAAAGAGCGACGGCGGTTCTCTGGTCTCTCGTACTACACACTGGGTGGCCCGGGTTAGCGTACGGCGCAGTTAAAATGGCCGCGCGAGTGTGTTTTCTCTCTTCGTCTGTCGCGCCTCTTCTGCTCGCCTCTCTTTCTCTCTCTCGTGGCGGTTCGTTGGTGGCACACGCGCGGGCGACGGCGGCATCTCGAGATATCCTCCTGGCGCACCGTGACATCTCGCGTGCACACTCGATCCGAGCGGAGAACGTACGACGTCGTAACGGCGTACGATGGCATCGTGAACAAACGACGAAAGGGCCCCGTGTATACGCGTTGGCACTACGGACAAAGACCGCGATTCGCGATTGACACTCGACAGACGGAGCAGACGCGCGCGAAGATCCGCGTGGGACTGTGCGCGGTGGCGCGAGTCGGACGCCGTGCACGTCCAGAAGCACCGAACGAGATGCGACGCAAGAGAGGGGACAGCGCCGCTCTCGGTCGTCGCCGGAACTACGAGGGTAAATAGCGCCCCGTCGAGGAGGGGAGGCCAACGGGCGTGTGGGGCGGTGGGGTGACGGGGGAGCAGGGACTTTCGCGTATACCGAGCCAGTGTACGCCGTCACGGGGCGCGTGGGGGACGGAGGGGGACGCCAGGGTCGGGGAACGGTGACGGGCAAAGGGAGGAAGAAACCGAGGGAGACGGAGACGAAGCGTGAGGGAGAGGAAGAGGAGAAGGGGAGACCATCTCAAGAGTGCGTCGGGCCAAGTGCGCGAGTGTCGTCACATCCGGTATTCGGGGTGGCGCTGTACTGGCCCGATGTGTCCGTGTGTGCGTGCGTGTGCGCGATAAAAGCCGCGGTACGCGCGTACGCACACGCAGCCCTCGTACTCGTGCAAATGAGTGCACACGGGGTGGAGATGTAGTGTAACGTGACACAACGCTACTCTCTGGCACCGTGTACACGGAAAATTATGTGGCACAGGTCGCCGGGATTCTACCGATACGAGCTGTCACGTGAGACGAACATGCGTGGCCCGTTTTTCCCGCTTGAAAAATTCACGCCGCCGTTTCTGCGCTCCCGTAACGTTATCGCGACAAATTTTAACCCTCGCGACGTATCGATACCCTGAACCCTTATCAAGGCACAACATTTTAAGAAAAAGTAAAACTACAAAGGAACGGAGGAATTTTTGGGTCACGGGAAGATCGAGACCAACGAGAAGCAAAGAATAGCGACGACGACGGTGGTTTCAAAGGTGGCACGCGAATATGGAAAAAGCGCGCGTAATCCGCTCGGAGGGACGAAGATTATTGCAGGGGAAGCGAGCGTTGCTCTATACGTCCCTGATTGTTACGGAATAGAGATGGCAGAAATAGCACTGTTCGTCGACATTCCTTATAATCCGAGCGCGTCGACGCTGGGACACACAGGAAAATAGCGTATGACACGGTGTGCGCGACAAACCGTACCTCGTGTGCGTAGGTATGCGATGGTTCGTCGCTTCTCGGTGTGCACGCTCCACCACCGACGCGAGCCAACGCGACACACGTATCGCTCCTACACTCCGTTTTCTGGAATGAGCCGTAACCAACACGCTCTCGTAACCAATTAGATTTGTTCGTGGCCTCTGGACTGGCACCCGTGAGAACACGCGACTCGTACAAGCTTTCTTCCACGCGCGGCGACCACCGCGGGACGAATTCCAGAGATCGCCGCGACCCATGCCACGGAGACTCTTGTATCGAATTAAAAAGACACGGGTTGGAGATTGGAGTCATGTATGGTATCAAAGACTAAAAAGATACGAGCAGAGTTTGTTCGAGAATAGGAAAAATGATATATCAGGTTGGTTTTGTGGCCAAACATCATGTGGATGGAAGTGAAAGGAGTTCTTGTTAATGTATCGTATATTTGAGAATCTCTAGAGAAAATTCTAGATGACAGAAACTTGTGTTATTTAGAAATAAAATTTCCTTTAGGATTTAATTCCAGAAAAATGAATAAAAGTCTCGATTGTAATCGATAGTTAACGAACCATGACTTCTAAACCAGCTATTCGCAATACTGGCAAAACTATCTTATCCAAAGGAAGCCTCTCCAGTTTACACCAGGAAGCATCGGTTGGTATCAACAACGTTTCATTCATCGCTTGTCGCGACCTTGCGCAATCGCCAATATTTACTTCTGCTACAAGCATCGGAATTTCCAAGAAGGGATCGCGGAAACATCCAGAAGAGCTAAGAGATATTGCGTTATCGATTCGACGATTCAATTTCTGTAATAATAACGCAGGGACGTCTAACGAGAGGGAAACGCGAGAACTTTCCATTGGGCTCGATACGTGGAAACAAGGGTTCGTCTACGAGCGAGGAGAAACACGGCAGGGAAAGCTGGAACACGCGATACCGCGAGCTTTTCGTCAGAACGAAACGTCAGTAGTTATCGTCGCGCGTCATCGGTCGCTGATCATCGCGAAACGGGCGTGCACGTTCTGGCCAGATAAATCAATATGTCGGGTGGAAATTTATTCCACGATATGCGGAGCGTCGTCGGTCGATTCAAAGGTTTCGCTCGAGACAGAACGTCGATGTTTCGCTAATGAAATCGATCATCGTGAATGAAATGCTGCATCGTCGCGACGTCAAACGCCACGTGACTCCTATTTCTCTCTCCTCACGTGTGCCCGCGTAGGTATCGCTTTCGAGGTCGTTCCATGACAGTGTCGAACGATAACGCAATGTTCGCCGACTTTTCGTTTTTACGTCATTTGAACGCTAATGAGCGTACACGTCATCGGTGTTCCGCGTAACGCGAGCCTTGCGCATAACAATCGTCTAGATCCTTCGAGCTTCGTGTGGAGCGGCTAGAAGGCTAGAGCTGGCTAAAAATCTTGTCCAGATTTCGCTAATTTCGATGTGTTTGTCGATACGGTGTGAATTTATGCATCAGAATTAGAATAACAGATTTAAATTGACGTAATAAACGTAGATAATTTGTTTCAAACGGCACGTTTAGAGTGTAAAGTCCAGATAAACTTTTAATTAATAAAAAGAGGTAGCAATTCCTCGAGAATTTTCACGATCAGAGAAAGGGTGAACGGGATTGTCGCGAGGGTTTCTTTCCACCGTGGAATGTTCGTGATTCGCGAGCATTCACGTGCCTGCGATTCGATCGGACTCCGCGCACAAATATTTGCTTTACGTTGCGCACACTGTGTTATTGCCGTTGCATAAAGTATTACGTTGCTCTTTTTATCCGCGATACAATACACCCGCGCTTCTTCGCTCGGAAAGTTTATTTTAGGCGCCAAACGTCTCGCCGCGGTGTAATGCTCGCGTGACGGACAGCACTTTTGAGTCCATTACACGATTGGAACGTTAAATTGGCATCGAGTAGGAAGCAATAAAGACAAATACGTATGACGTACCGTGGATACGACTAACGAATAGCGTAAACGTATCTCCGATCCATTAAGAGACAACGTTGCATCGACGTAACATTTCCCCAATGATTGCCTTCGATTCAAATGCGAGTGAAATTTGCATTATCTGTCGTGTACACGGGACGAGGACCTTTAACTCGTTAATTTTCGCGTAGAAAAATCAACGCTCAAAGAAAATGAGTCGAGAGGGCGAGATAGAGCAGACGAGACCCGAGACGCCCAGGAGGCGAAGAAGCGACGTTTGCGCGTCAGAACTTTCGCGTAAACATGCTTTGAGATTACTTCCCGGGCTAACACTATCGAGGGAATTATCAATTAGAATTAATTAGCAATTAAGCCAGTCGGCGGACCAACTTACCGCGAGTTACGTCGACGACGGCGCAAAGAGGGACTTTGGAGGAGTCGTCGACACGGATCAACCTGGCGGTGTTCTCATTCGACTGGATTTTGAGCTGAGATTCGCTTAAGCACCTCGCGGAGATTGTCTAGCGATATTTCCTTTAACGAACCGCAGATTCGAAGAAGCTCATCAATGGGAGCCATATTTGCAAAATTAACGATTGCTGGGTGTTCAAGGAATTATAATAAAAATAACGTACCCATATATCGTGTAAATAATTATATATATTTAAATAGAGCAAACGGTGGAAGAAAGTATAAAAGATATTCTAGATGGTATTCGGACGAGCGTACGATTGGAACTGACCAGGTAACAAGGTACGGCGGCAGAACTTGCACTTTCTTAGTACCCGGGTAGCTAATAGTCATAAAAAGGCCAGGGAGAGCGAAAATAACGGTTGTCCTAAACATATATCGAGCGTAGAGTTTTCAGAAACATATGAAATTGTTAGCTTACTGCACCGTAGTAAAGTGACTCACGGATTTTCTTGAGTAGCAGTAATTTCAACGAATCCGCGAATGGCGATTCGCGGTATGTCTATGAGACTCGCACGATTAGAAAAGTGAAACTCAATACCTGTATCGCGTGCGATAACATGGAAGCTAGAGCGTCGCAAGGCCGCGCGACGAGGATGATGAAGCTAATTTCCATGTATCGCAATGATTCACGATTTTATTAATTTTCGCGGTACATACCGCCGAACTGAGTAGTAATCGATGATAGAAGATAGACAAAATCAAAGTAAAAGGATGTAGTATCCGCGCCTCCCATACCCAAAAATAAGGAGTCAAACGACAACACGAAACGTAGGGTACGGGGTTGCTCATGTAAGTAAAGCGGTCGACTGTAGATCCGAGGATTGTGGGTTCGAATCTCCGTGCCTTATTTTTCGTTTATACTCCTACAAGGATAAGTAACATTACCACCTAACGAAGGGCATCCGTTTTTCATTTAAACTTGTTGAAGAAAAATAATATCAAGTATTTTGAGGGTTTCCCTTTGCGTGAACGCGAGGCGACGAGCCCTACGTTATACCTGCGAACGTCTATCCCCACCGGCACCGTTCGATTTTATTGCAACTCCAGAAAGGACCGAACGACTCTTTCCTTCCATTTTTAGTCTGTAAGAGACTCTGTAAGGATCAAGTCAGCGCGTTTACTTGGCGCTTGGTTAAATTAACATCAATTACATATAATTATATTTTTCCTTGATTGAATACCTTTTTCTGTTCAAAATCAACCTTTAACAAAATTCCTCCTCGGGATGCAATGGCAACAGTGACTCCTTATCCCTTCTCGATTTCTAAATATTTTCATTCCACGATGCCCAATTCTACTCTAATCGTAGACTAAGAATCATTATCGAACGAAGAACATTTGTCGAATGGAATCAGAGTAACGGCGTATCGAAGCGAGACCTGAAAATATCCTCCACTCGTGTTCGGAAAATCTTGACAGCTCTCGTGAATCAGACTGTAGCCAGAATGCATAAACGAGTGGAATTGATAGCGTCGCTGACGTACGCTTGCAATAATCTTGCTTATCTGCCAGATACCTCTTTATTATTGT